GTAATTAAGTAAGTATAGTAGTATATATATATATATATATATATATATATATATATATACACACACACACACACACACACACACACACACACACACATATATATATATATATATATATATATATATATATACTTTGGTTAATTTTCATCTTCCCACATCTCCTATTAACCTCTACCAACAAGTCCATATTAATTGCACTGGAATCGACTATGACATGAACAGATGAAGAATTTCAAACAGCATGGAAGATTTGCCCGCGATTGTGAAGAAACGAACTCAAAATACAAGTATACATCAGCGTCGCAACGAATGAGATATCATATTGTGCTATTATATTTCATAACATATACAAAGGTAGTGTTATCGGCGGGCCGATGGGCGTGGACGATTTATTTTACCCACACATACCACATTAAGGATTTAGTGCAGTAATCGATCAACTACTCGATCGCTATATGTGAAAGTGCAGTAATCGGTCACACTACGCACAACGAAAAATGGTTATACGCTTAGTCCACAGACCGAAATCAGGAGTTATTCGGGTCACTCAAATGGCTTAAAAAATCCTTTACGGTTTAGCTACGCTTCGATTTCTAATCGTCTATCGTTTCCATTCACTGATAGATGTGTAATGTTATGATGAATTATGCAACTGAAATGACGCAGCTGCTTTCATGCATTGCCTTTCAGTGAGATAATTTCGCAGCGTTCAACTAGAGTATCATCCTTCTTGCACTAGATTCGCCTAAGAGATGAACAGATGAACAGTTCTAAACAACTGAGAAGATCCGCACACTGTTGCTAATAGAAAGATACGAAAACGAAAACGACGAATCGGAATCGCAGCGAATGTACTATCATAGTTCCAATACCTTTCCTTAAAATATGATGCAAAGGTAGTGTTGCCAGCGGACCGATAGGCATGGAAGATTTATATTACCACATACCACATTTATAATTTAGTACAGTTATCGCTCAATCTACATACAACAAGAATTGGTTGTGTGAGGAATATGTTATGCGATTGTGAGATTTTGTATCGAGGGGCTTCAAATTTAGCAATCCTTTAAATACCCCACTAGACTTTTTATTTGTGATTTATATCGCAAGGCCCTGTATCCAAAAGTGTAAATTTTGAGACACGCTCGTGATGCTATCATAATGTGAAGAAAATGGGATATAATGACTTGTGAGATGTACATAATTAATTGTTTTATTGTTCTACGTGGCTGGCGGTTCTAGCTTTCTGCTGCCTGCGCAATCTTTGATTCTTTAATCCTCTTCCCTTTCTTAGGTATTCTTCCCATTCCACTTTGTATAGATTGAATATCTGCACGTAGAACACGACAGTCAGTACATAATGGGATGGTCCACAATGCACCGGATGTTCATGGAACGATCCAGACAGCTAGGTCGGTTTCGGTAAGTACACATATGGGTATGTACTATTGGGAAAAAATCGAAAGCTCAATATAGAAGGGAACCCATTGAGGGATGGATTTAAGAGTAGATATCGCAGCAAGCGCCATTAATATATAGTGTTGATGAGAAAACACAAAACAGCAAGATGTAAAATAATACGGCGAGATTGTACGCTTTGAAGGTAAGGACGATCGCCATTCACGATTATTCTGATAGGATACATGTGAAAATGCACTATCGACAACTCCTCGATAACGACAAGAAACAAAGAATGGAGAGGAATGAATCTGGAATCAAAAATCGCAGAGGCGACCTCCATTCGATCTGATACTTGATCTCTCACATTCAATCGAAAGGATAGCTTACAAGGGACAACAGCGAGATACACTACAAAAAACGGCGCAGATAATAAAAAGAGAAGCTGCACTCCCAATCATTCGAATAAAGGGAAGTGAAGTGCAATAGGGGCTGTACCACTGCGCAGCTCTGCAGTTCGAGGCAGCAATGCAATTGAAGGCAATGATGTACATCAAGCTACAAACACAAGTCAAAACGTACACGCAAAGCACTTGCGATAACCTTCATACTTACACCAACGCTGCTCACCTGCATAGTTGCTGCAGCATCTTCCGCCGGAGAATGCTCACCGGTCTGTATTTGAATATTTAGTATCTTCTTCGCCAAAAGACGCAACGATGGCGTTCTTCCATTCGAGTACTTTCGTAGTGGTTTATATTTAGCCGTGTCTCTAATCATAGTCTTCGGATGGGACATCATAAGTGCCTGCAATGCGATAAAAAAGCAATCATTACAGAATTCCAGATCAAATCTCATTCAAACCTGTTCTTGCAGAGCGTGCATCCAACGTAATTCACGATGTTCTACTTGTGCTACAAGTGATGAATACATGGAAATAATATGGAATACTCACCTTTAGATCGTTATTGATTGCGTGACCTACGAGAATTTTGTCGTGGCAGATATCATGCACCATTTTCTGAACAGTCTCGAAATCTTTTGCACCTACCAACAATTCACGAGTTATACCACTCACATGTGTTCTATAATCTGTCACTTTCTCTTTGATAATTACATATTCCAACAGAACTGTGTTGCCCTGAGAATTTACAACGGCAACCTGAGCTAGCGCACTGCGCTTTCCATCGTATCCTACACCGACCATTTCGCAATCGATCGCAAGATGAGCTGTAGGACTACGGGTTTTTGTGGGAAACAAAATAAAAAAACTGAGACACGAACTTTCATGCCGAATCAATTAGCAATATATCAAAAATTTTCAGAGCAGGCACAGATCTATATATATATATATATATATATACACATATAGATAGAGATAGAGATATATATAATAGATATATAATATATATACACACACATATATATATATATAATAAATAAATATGTATATATATATATATAATATATATATATGAATATACATATATATATATATATAGATCTATACATATATATATATATATATATATACAAATATATATATATAGAGATATATGCACACATATATATATAGATATAGACAGGTATATATAC